GAAAACACGTGAAAATTTGAGGGGTAAAATGATATTTCCTCTTTGCATAATTTACCCAATAATCAAAGTCCAGCGTATTGGTGAAAAGAAAAAGTCAAGTCAAGTCAAGTCTATTGGGGGGTAGCATAAACATTTGGTTATGATTTTCTTGCCCTCTTTGCACGACTGCATGCGGTAAACATAGGTGAAGTAATTTGAGTCAAGCAGTACTTTTACAATAGATTCTATCATCTCATATGTATAATTAAAATTATTTTATTTTCTTTCTATAAAAAATATATATATTTATATATATTTTATAGGCCTAGCTTCTGTTTAGCCCAGATCTTGAATTGAAGGATATTGTTCGAGCTTGTAAGACTCACTACGGTCTACAGGTATCGTTTTATGATATGAATGGTTTATTTTGTATGAATTTTAAGACTCACTACGGTCTACAGGTATCGTTTTATGATATGAATGGTTTATTTTGTATGAATTTTCATATATATTAGCTACACAAAAAATTATGTTGATTCAATAATCATTATTTGTTCAATTTATTGTGTTTGTCGCCAAAGTGTACTTTCAAAAGGGGAAATATCATTTTTCCCCCCAAACTGTCACGCATTTTTCACATTGACCCCCATACTTCGATTTATTTCAATTTAGTATATGAACTTTCTGCAAATTGATCAATTAGACTCTTACCGTCACCTTCCGTCCACAATTGGACGAAATGTGTTAATGTGGGAGGAAATTGATTTTTAAAGTATAGTTTGAGGGGCAAATTGATTTTTAATTTGGGGGGTAATTTGATTTTTAAGGTATAGTTTGGGGGTAAAATGAAATTTTAAATGCCACGTCAGCATATTTTGTCCAATTGTAGACGGAAGGTGACGGCAGGGGTCTAATTGATCAATTTGTGAAAAGTTCAGGTACTAAATTGAAATAAATAGAAGTATGGGGGTCAATGTGAAAAATGAGTGATAGTTTGGGGGGCAAAATGATATTTCCTCTTTTCAAAAACATACTTATCGTCTATTTTTTTTTTTTTTTTTAAACCAATGAGATAAATTGAATATGTTACGATTATCGAATTAATCTAACTTTTTGTATGAATGATATACATGAAAGGCTCCATAAAATAAATGATTTGGATAATTGGAAAACGGGATGTACGGTGAGTTCCACAAGCCTAAATAGTACACTCCTTTAGATTAGAGAAAAGTCCAACCCTATTATTCACATTAAAAAAATAGATCAATTCAATAATTGTAATTTATTCAATTTGTCAAATTTATCTCAAAAAAAATATTGATAACAAGTGTATTTTTTAAAAAAATCATTCATTTTTTTGTTGTTGATAATAAACACTATAAATTGAACGTGTTATGATTATTGGATTGACTAAATTTTTTGTGTGAATGATATACACGACGCACTCTCCAAAATGAATGATTCGGATTATTGAAACGAGATCCGCGATGGTGATCCGGATCTTATGTATAAATTTGTTGTCGTATAAGTTAAAGAAGGGGGATTGTAGGCTAATTAAAATAAAGGAAATTTTACAATACATACCGTATATATCAATCATGACACTTATAGTCTTTTGTTATGACTTATTATGGTATTTGTTATGACTTGATTATAATTATGATTTTTTTATGACTTATAGCGATGTTAATTATAACCTTTCGTAATTATTAGTTTGGTTAGAATTCCAAAAAGTTGTTAATTATACTTTATGTAATGTTTGTTTATGAGCCTTTTTTTTTAGTTACAGCAAACAAAAAAATAATTGTCATAATCAAAATTACAAATTCCATAACTTGTATATAGGTGTTTATCGGCATCTATAGTCAACTCAAGTCTTGATATTATACAATGGGGGATGTTTGGTGCAGATTAAGTAGGTGTTTGGAATTTGCTTTTTTGATATTTTTTAAAAATATATATTGCCCTTTGTGATTTTGAAAATTACAAATACTTCTAGTCAAAATTTGTCATTTAATAAAATTAATATAAAATGAGAAATTTTTAACTACCCCCTTATATAACAATAAAATTACTAAAAATATTAATTAAAATATATTTATAACATCATTAAAAATTGTTTATGACTTAATGATTTATTAATAAAATGAGTCATTTATTATGCAATTAATTTTTAAAAAAAAAATATAGGTTGCGTTTGGTAGAGTTTTTTAACTATGATTTGAGAATATGAGTTGTATTTTGAGTTTATGAGTTTTGGAATTATGATTTGAGTGCAGAAAATTTGTTTGGTGAATGAGTTTTGAAAAGAGTTTTGAATTGAGTGGGAAATTTTTGATGTGATATGTAATATTTGATACAAAAATTTACAACTCATAACCAAATATACAACTTAAAAATCTATTAAAACCTCATAAAAAATTTTAAAAAATTCCAAAAATATTGTTTTATTAAAAATATAAAAAAACACACAAGTGCAAAAAAAAAAAAAAAAAAAAAAAAAAAAAAAAAAATCGTACTGTAGAGGTCAACTGGCCGGACATCCGGTAGGCCAAATTTTAAAATTTAAAAGCCCACCCGGAACGAGTTTTCAAAACAAGAGATGGAATTAACTTTCCAAAACTCAAACCAAACATCATACTAGAGTATAAAGGTGGAACTATAATTCCAAAACACTTCCAAACACAGATAATTTTCAAAAGAGTAGTGTTACATTCCCTAATATATCACCTCTATTTTGACTTTTAATGAGGTTAGAGAGAGAGAGAGAATAGAAAGAGATAGAGAGATGAAGGATGAGAAGTGAGAAATGGGGTCCATTTCACATTATTAGTGGGGCTGATTCCCTTACTGCCATTTTTAAAACTTTATTCCCACTCTAGGGTGAGTTTTTATCTTTATTCCCATTGTGGAGTAAAACGGCTTTAGCAATTCTGTTTTCCAGAAAATGACTTTTGAAAAGCCGTGTTTCACAATTAAAATAATAATAAAATTTGAACAAAAAAAAAACCAACTTTGGAAAAGCCAGTTTTAATTAACTTCTAATTAATTTTGAATTAATTAAAAATGGTTTTGGTAAAACCATTTTTACACTAATTTTTTTTAATTTATATTTTCAACATAAATATTTTTTAATCAAAAATATTTTTAATATAAAAACGGTTTTAGAAAAGACGTTTCATGAAAAACTGTTTTCACAATTATTTATTTATGTTTTTTTTCATGTGGTAAGGTTGGACTTGGGAACCAAAAGAAATGAGAGAGAGAGAAAGAGAGAGCGGCAATTCCAATGCATTCAAAGATGGGTTTCTTTAGAAAATCACAACACAGACAAAACATAATCTATATAATACTCCAACAAAACATAATCTCATCAAGATTCCATGCTCAATTAGTTATTATATGAAACATATATTATATATACACACATTCTTGGATCTTTAGAAAATCACATACAAGGCCGGCCTAGGCCTGCACCTCCAACTAGGGGCTAAAAATAGGGGCTCCAAATATAATTTTGTATTTTAGATATTAAAAAAAAAAGTTCAAATACTATAGACCCAATAGAACATGGGGCTTAAAAAAAACAACAAGACTAGATTTTTATTTTTTTTAAATATTTGTCACGATTGCTTCCTATCTTAATATATGAAAATAAATTTTTATTTATAATTTTAATGATTATATGTGCAAGTAATTTTTTTTTGTAGCTACAAACAAATAAAAAAGTTGTAACTTATCGTTTTATCTATGATTTTTTTTTCCAATATAAGAGGGCCCCATTTCTGAAATTCGCCTTGGGTCCCCAAAATCTCAGGGCCGGCCTTGATCACATATATTATATATACACACATTCCTGCATCTGTGATTTATGGTCCACCGAGAACAGAACAAGATGACAGGACTAGCCACCCAAAGTGAAGTCAAGTCTACCTATAATAATAAAAGTAATATTATGGATTCAAATATAAAAATAAAAAATTATTCAAAATTTTATATTAGTAGTTTCTCTTTATTTTATATACAGATCTCACACTATATAAATTCAATCTTTACGTATTCCTCTATCCAAAAAAATCTGGATAGATATGTCATGGTTCATAACAATTTTGTAATAATAATAATAATAATAAAATTAAATTACTAAAAATATGTAAGTTGATAAAATTATTACATATGCATGAAAAAATTTATAATTTTAATTATTAATATTAATAAAATATATTATTAATTTATAATTATTTTCAAAATTATATCCTGATATTATTCTTATTAAAAAACACAAAATGACAGGAATTGCCAAAAGTCAAGTCAAGTCTAGTCTGCATATAATATTGTTGTTATTATTAAAAGTTGTAATTTGCAAATTATGTATCATTGTGTTGTTTAAATTATCAACAAAATGATTATGATAAATGATAAATGATAAAGTTATGTTTTACTTCTTTTTTCTTCATTAGTGTTTAGGATTCAAAGTCACACTTAAAAAATAAAAATAAAAAAGTTTAGGATTTAAAGTGACAAAAATTAAAATATTAGAGTCCAAAATAACATGAAATTCATATTTTAGAAACTATAGATATTATTTCACTATCATTTGTTGATTTAGATGATTTGTTTAAAATTGAATCAATTCAATTCAATTCAACTCAAAGTGAATATTTGAATGATAATATTAAAAATTTTAGAAATCAAAGTAACACGAAAAAGTATATTTATAGAAATGTATTTTATCCTAATTTATAATAATATGGTGAGAGCTGCAAATGAAACTATTGGAGGATCAAACACGGGTCAAGGTCGTTCATCCAAATGATTGGATGCTTATGTTGTATAATTTGTTACAGAAGTGATGGTCCAAAGATATCTCTTTCATATGCATTGATCTGGCATGATCTTATTGGTCATCAATTTCCCAAAATTGAATACTTCCTAGTGGAGGATCCAAACCAAAACTATCGAAAGAAAGACCTCTCCAGGTTCGATAAAAAAAAATAATTTTCCAATTTGTATTATCTATAAATACCTCTCCATGCTCTTGCAGCTCTTCATCCCTCCATCCTATTACTGTCTTTCATAGCTTTCTATTCTATTAATAACAAGCAAGCCTACAATACAATGACATTCTTGCCCAATACACTTCCCAACCACTTTCTTTCTTTCCCACCCCTTTTACTCTGCCTCATCATCCTTGCATTCCCCACTTTTTTTGATTATGCTGCTTTTGCTTCTTCCTTAACTACTGGAAAACAACCAAGTGAAGCCACGGCTCTCTTGACGTGGAAAGCTAGCCTTCACAACCAAACTCAAACTCTCCTGTCCTCCTGGGTTGGAACCAACCATTGCACTTGGCTTGGAATTCGTTGCAACAAGGCCGGTAGAGTTGTCCATATAGACCTTCAGAGTTATGGTTTGAAAGGTACTCTTTCTGATCTTAATTTCTCATCCTTTCCTCATCTCCTCACCCTTCAACTTTTTAACAACTCACTTTATGGGACCATCCCCCCCCATATTGGTAACCTTTGGAGACTCACCTACCTTAGCTTGCCTCTCAACAATCTCTCTGGAACAATTCCAACCGAAATAGGCCAACTAACTAATCTAAGGATCTTGTTCCTCAATAGAAACCAAATCGGTGGCTCCATCCCTCAACAAATAGGATTGCTCAACTCTCTCAATGAGCTTAGCTTGTATGCTAACAATCTCACGGGTTCAATCCCTTCTTCAATTGGAAACTTGGGCAACTTAACCAGTCTGCTCCTTTATGACAACCAACTTTCTGGATCAATCCCTCAAGAAGTTGGGATGCTGAGGTCTCTCGTTGATCTCGTACTCTCAAGGAACAATCTCACAGGTTCAATCCCTGCATCTATAGGGAACTTGGGAAACTTAACCCTTTTGTACCTTTATGACAACCAACTTTCTGGATCAATCCCTCCAAAAATTGGGATGCTAAGGTCTCTCGTTGATCTCGAACTCTCAATGAACAGCCTCACGGGTTCAATCCCTGCATCTATAGGGAACTTGGGCAACTTAACCACACTGAACCTTTATGACAACCAACTTTCTGGATCAATCCCTCAAGAAATTGGAATGCTGAGGTCTCTCATTGAACTCATACTCTATAGGAACTATCTCACCGGTTCAATCCCTGCATCTATAGGGAACTTGGGTAACTTAACCACACTGTACCTTTATGACAACCAACTTTCTGGATCAATCCCTCAAGAAATTGGGATGCTGAGGTCTCTCATTGAACTCATACTCTATAGGAACTATCTCACCGGTTCAATCCCTGCATCTATAGGGAACTTGGGCAACTTAACCACACTGCACCTTTATGACAACCAACTTTCTGGATCAATCCCTCAAGAAATTGGGATGCTGAGGTCTCTCATTGAACTCATACTCTATAGGAACTATCTCACCGGTTCAATCCCTGCATCTATAGGGAACTTGGGCCATTTGACCACTCTGTCCTTTTATGACAACCGACTTTCTGGATCAATCCCTCAAGAAGTTGGGATGCTAAGGTCTCTCGTTATTCTCGAACTCTCAACGAACAATCTCACCGGTTCAATCCCTGCATCTATAGGGAACTTGGGCAACTTAGCCACTCTGCACCTTTTTGAGAACCAACTTTCCGGATCAATCCCTCCAGAAGTTGGGCTGCTGAGGTCTCTTGTTGATTTCGAACTCTCAATGAATAATCTCACGGGTGCAATCCCTGCATCTATAGGGAACTTAAGCAACTTAACCAATTTGTACCTTCATTACAATAAGCTTTTTGGATCTATTCCCCCAATGTTCAATAATCTTACACATTTGACTATACTTTCTTTAAGTGTAAACATGCTCACTGGTCAAATCCCAGAAGGCCTATGCCTCAATGGATCGTTGGTTTGGTTTGCAGCAAACGATAATAACCTTAGAGGTCCCATCCCAAAAAGTTTGAGAAATTGCTCTAGCTTATACAGAGTTAGGCTTGAAAGAAACCAATTTTCGGGAAATATATCAGAAGATTTTGGCATATACCGAAGCTTGGATTACATTGATTTGAGTCATAACAATTTTTATGGTGAGCTATCCAAAAACTGGGGAAAATGCCACAATTTAACTAGTCTCAAAATGGCTAACAATAAAATTTCTGGTAAGATACCATCTGAATTAGTAGGGGCAACTCAGCTATCCGTTCTTGATCTCTCTTCAAATCATCTCGTTGGGGAGATCCCATTGAAATTGGGAAGGTTGGTTTCACTATTCAACCTTAAGCTGGATGATAACTATCTATTAGGCAATATTCCTCCAGAATTAAGTAAGTTGTCCAATTTAGAGAACCTTAACTTGGCAGCAAATGATCTTAGTGGCTCAATCCCTAGAGAACTTGGAGACTACTTAAAACTATTGAACTTAAATTTGAGCAATAATAGATTTGGGGAAAGCATTCCTATTGAACTAGGCCAGATCAGCACTCTTCAAAGTCTTGATCTTGGTAATAACTTGCTAATTGGTAAGATACCACAACAGATTGGTGAATTGCAAAGATTAGAAACATTGAATCTCTCCCACAATGAGTTCTTTGGTTCTATACCATCATCTTTCAATAAAATGGTAAGTCTTACTTCCGTTGATGTGTCATACAATCAGTTAGAGGGTCCTCTTCCTGACATCAAGGCCTTCCAAGAGGCTCCATTCGAGGCACTCAAAGGTAATAAAGGTTTATGTGGTAATGCTACTGGTCTGAAGGCTTGCTTGACAAAATTGAATAATGGGGATGTTGAAAAAAAGGGCAAGAAAGTAATGCTACTAACTGTACTTCTTGTTTTTGGAATTTTGTTTCTTTTGCTAATGGTTCTTGGCATTTTCATGGCTTTTCGTAAGAAAGCGAGGAACACAAAAAACGAGCCATCACGAGTAAACCATGATAATGTTTTTGCAATATGGAGCTATGATGGAAAAATGGTCTATGAAAACGTCATTGAAGTCACTGAGAACTTCAGTGCCAAATATTGTGTTGGAGAGGGAGGATATGGTACCGTTTATAGAGCTGACCTACCAAATGGTCAAGTAGTTGCTGTGAAGAAACTTCATGCAACACTTGATGATGACTCGGCTAATCTAAAAGGGTTTACAAGTGAGATCCGTGCATTAACTGAGATTCGGCATCACAACATTGTAAAGCTGTACGGTTATTGTTCACACCCAAGGCACTCATTTTTGGTTTATGAGTTCTTGGAAGGGGGAAGCTTGGGAAATGTGCTGAGTATGGACAATGATGTAGTAGTCTTTGATTGGATTAAGAGAGTGAACACTGTTAAAGGTGTGGCAAATGCTCTGTCTTATATGCACCATGATTGTTTTCAACCAATCATCCATCGAGACATATCAAGCAAGAATGTTTTGTTTGATTTGGAGTATGTGGCTCACATATCTGATTTTGGCACAGCTAGATTTATGAATCTCAACTCATCCAATTGGACCTCCTTTGTTGGGACCTTTGGTTATGCTGCTCCTGGTATATATTTTTCTATCGCAATGATTTATTTCCAATTAAATTACCCATGTAGTGTTTGTTCATTTTAACTTACTAATGATGACAAATTGCTAGATTTAATCTTGTTATTCCATTTTTTCTAATATGCATACCTTAAATTCTCATGTATGATGAACATAGCTACTGAAAAGCCATTTTAGAAGAAAAATATTCATTGAAGTAAATAGTGTTGCAGATTGGTTAAGCCTATTGTGGCTTTAGATAGGTCGGGTACTTTGTATATATATATTCAAGTTTGTTAGTGTTGATTCTTTTTTGGGCCAAATTACACTGTATCCCTATAGTTTACACCATTTATTACTTTGCCCCTTGACTTTTAAATTATTTTAGTCAGCCCCTAGACTTCAAGTCGAGTTTCAATTGGGCCTAAGCATATAACATTGTCTTAGAATGAGACTTTGGTAAAAATACAAGTTGATAAGGAATAAAGTGAGATTTTGATAAAAGTGCAAGCGTGCTAATTGTAATTAATTCTATCAGATGACTATTCTTTGTTAGTTTTTGAAACAAGGTTATACAAATAGGCCCAATTCCAATTTGACTCAAAGTCTGGAGGGGTTGCCTAAAACAATTAAAAGGTCAAAAGGTAAAGTGGGATTAGATGTAAAGTATAAGGATGTAAAGTGTAATTTACCCATTCTTTTGCATGAATATTTTTTATCTTATATTGCTTAAGAGGTAAGGCTCATTACCCCTCTCGATTTTAGTTTTAGATTATTAATAAATTTCTCCTTATGTTGTCAAGGTTTACCAAAAAGTAAAAAATAAAAACTCTTTTTTGCAAGACATGGAATATTTTCTCCTTGTTTGACGTTCATTTAAGAAAATGATTATTTCAGTAGGATTCCATGTGTTTCCTGTATTTAGTACTTATGGTTTTAGTTGAGACTTTGGCGTGCTCTAATGACCTACCACTCGTGCACGAATGGATCAAGGGGGTTGGCAGGGTGACCGCCACCCCAAAATTTTGAAATAACTCCTTAAATATAGTAGTATTAGTTATCAATATTTATAAATTATATAGGTTCACCCCTCCAAGATTTTATTGTTTTTCTTTAACTCGATTTGCAGTTTTAAGTTTCAATCATTACTCTTCAACTCTAGGTTTCCTTTCTCTCTCTGCCTCTTATTCTTCTCATTTGTTTCGGTTCTATTCTTCTCTTCTTGTTCTTCTTTTTTCTCAATTTTTTCCTCTATCTTTTTTGTCATTTCAATTCTGCCCAGAACTCAATTTCCATTTTCAATTTTTCTTTCTGTTCTCCTTCTCTATTTTAAAACAACTTATATTTTCTATTCTTTCTCTTTTTCTTGTTTCTCAATTTAAATTATGTCTTTCTTTCTTCTTCTTCTTTGAGATCTTAATTACATTCGATGGAAGTTGTACTCACCAACGAAGAGATCACATTGCCATTGAGTTTTTTCAAGTTGACATTTTACAATTACATGTGATACTCAATTACAAGAATTAAAAAAACTGATTGATTTTTCAAAATTGAAGATATTTGCAAGCTTGCAAGTAAATTTAATTTACATTTGAAATTCCAGTTAAAAAATTAGACATTCCGAATTTCAAAAATTGTTAATAATATTTGAGTTGTGCCAAAGTGTTTGTAAAGCAAGAAAGTCGATAATCTATCCTCTTGTCAATAGATTGAATCATCATCTTTTAACTTTACCTATTTCTATGGTGACTACAAAATGCACATTTTTGTCAATGAAAATTATCCAAACTAAGCAACACAAGTAGTATTTTTTCTCCTTGAGTATAAGTTCGCCCCCTATGATTAAAATCATGCCTCCATCCTTACACTTGTGAACAGTCCTTCAAAAGCTTCATTGCTTCAAAAACCTATCTTTCTACAGTTAACATTTGGTAGTGACCAAATTTTCATTAATTCTTTATTTCTCTCAAATTGTTTGGGTTGGTCATCAAATCAAAAATACTAATAACACTTGAAAGACTTTAGTTAATATTGGTGACTAACAATCCTATTGATGTCTTGAAAATCATGTATGGAAAAGTAGGTAGTTGCTTCAATGAACTAACTATCCTGTTTTAAGATATTCATAGTTCTTAGGTTTTCATATTCTGAAATTTTCGCATTGGCTTTCATCAAGCATTTATATAATTTCCTTCTTTTGGAACCCTAAACTATTCGCGTCATTTATCAAAGAATTCCAAGCAATTTAATCAATGTCTGGAAATGGGCCAGGAGCATTTTTGTTTACTTTTCCACCCTTTCTTTGCTTAACTATTTTCTGTTGGGCATTTTTAATTTTTGGCAGAACTTGCTTATACAATGGAAGTGAATGAGAAGTGCGATGTTTATAGTTTTGGGGTGCTAGCACTGGAAGTGATTATGGGGAAGCATCCGGGTGATCTAATCTCCTCTTTATCATCGTCCTCGTCCTCATCATCAACATCAACTGCGCAAGGGATATTTTTGAAGGACGTCTTGGACCAACGCCTCCTACCTCCGAGGAATCAAGTGGCAGAGCAAGTAGTTGTTGTTGCGAAACTAGCATTTGCATGTTTACACACCACTCCACTGTCTCGGCCAACCATGCAACAAGTTGCTACGATGCTATCAAATGAAAGACCAACACCACAAAACCAATTCTACATGATTACATTAGGACAACTCTTTGACATCAACTGCTCGAGCTCTTGAGTATTTATTTTTTCTTTTATTCTTGGATTGCATGATGTTCTTACTTTCAATTGTCTTCTTATACCATTCAATTTCACACCGTTTCTAGTCTATTTTGCTACTCTTTTCTACTAATTATCATCTTACAAACTTCTATATGCCAAATTTAAAAGTATCAATACTCTATGATTTCTATCATAGTTAGAGATACAATAATGTGTCTTGAATTCTGCAGTGGCTCACACATATATATTGGCTCTCAATCAACAAGTAGGCTCTATGGTCAGCGTAATCCAACCATAAATAATAGACACACTCAAGCTCTTGCCATCTTGCATGCTATCAACACGTATGACATTGTATAATATCCTGTCTTCTTGACTTTTGCATTTCCAGGTAGCTGGTGAACAAGATTTTCCATTGGAACTTGGCTCCACTGTTATTGGACATCTACGACTTTAGTCCTGAGTTCCAAAAGCCAAGAGAACCAAGCTTTTTTTTTTGATGAATGCAAGGATTCAACTGAGTCTTCGTTGGTCATCTCAAGCAGAGGGCAATCATCTAAGTTTTGTGTGGGTTTGTTTGTCCTGTTTTATATGTTTTGTTTTGATTTTGCTTCTAGCAGGGTAGTGGTGTGGTGTGTTGCTTTCATTTTTTAGGATTCTGTCTCCTATACTAGACTTAGGTGGTATTTTTCTTTCGATCTCTCTATCCTATGGTTCACTTGTGATTGGTTTGTATATGAAATGAAGTTCATGAATCACACCTATGATATTTAACAAGCATTCAAGGTAGGAATCAATTTGCATAGGATGGATAATTCCTTGATCATTTCCTACTCTTTCCTCCTTCCACTCACTCTCTCAAATAAACAAAGAAATGCTAAACCTCAAAAAGGGCTTTTAGTTTATAATCTGATCTTCAATTTGCAGCAGTGTAGGCATGGTGCTGGGGCTTGAGCTTTTGTTCTGTTTCCTCTGTTCTGCTTCTTTTTTGTGTAGCCATATTGAAACCTCTCCAATTCTGGTTTTCTGGTTTGTTGTGGGATTGCTCATGATTAATCATGCATAGGGTGCCAACATAGTTGGGATGCTATGTTTTTGATAATGATGCAGTGTTTGTTCCCACTTTTTGTAAGTTTTTTGATCTACTTTCGATTAATAAAATCTTTGCTTTTGGCTGATCAAAAAAAAAAAAAAGAGGCTTTCAGTTGCAAAAAAAATATCAACTCAAACACATTGTAAAAGCTTTAATCCTTTTGCCTGGCCCAATCTCTAGACATTAGTCTCAAACATGTGCACATGTAGGTCTAACACATAAAGCAAACTGATACAAATGAACGCATAACCATTCACATGACCACTTTTGTCAACAAAGAAGTGTTGTTGAATTATTACAGGAGAAATGAGCAAAGTCAAGATATCTTGACTTGCTTAAGAAGTTTATTGTATTTAAGATGAACATTTTAGAAAATATACACAAGCAAATTCTAAATTCACAGACAAAATATTAGTAGATCAAATAAAAATCGAAATGTTGTGTTTGGAAAGTTGGTTATTTTAATTGACTATTTGACTTTTTAACTATTTTAACTTGGCTAAAATAGTTGTGTGTGGGAAGTTGGTTGGTAGTTCACACACACACACAACTCATAGTTCACAATTAGATAGAGAAAGTAGTCCTGAGAGAGAGAGAGAGAGTAATACATGAAATTTTCAGTTTGCAGCTATGCACTTGTGGTTGTGGTGGTGATTGTGGAAAATAGTGGGATATCAAATTCATTCGGCATGTTATGTGGTGTTCCTCCAGATCCAACAAATGGATTCACCAATGTGGCATTGACAGAGTATAACTTTGAATTGCAAAAACCGTATGATATTCCACTTGAACAGCGATACAGCTATTATAATGGAGTGAGAAAATTGTGGGTTTATGCTGATGATAAGCCTCATGACCCCACTCGTCCGAGTACTCTCTCTCTCTCTCTCTCTCTCTCTATTCATCTACATGTAGCAGATATATATCTATTTGGGGAATTTTAAATTACATGTTAGAGCATCTCAAACGTTTAAAGTTTGATCTAATATATTGTATTTCAATCGTTTCATTAAATTTGGCTGGTCGTTCGGCCTGCAGTAAATTTTCAGCAAAACTTTCCCAAGCTAGTCATCTACCCGGATGTCCCGCCAGTTATCCACCCAATTGACCAGCCAGTCGTTCACCAATGGTTACCAACAAAATTTGATAAAAGATTAAATGCTCTCTTAATTTGATAAAAAAATCTAGCTTTGCCTTCATTTGATATGCGTTTAATGACATAATTGAGCAAAAAAAAGGGACGAGTTTCATCAAATTTAAATTTGATGAAACATATGAGTAAGCGTTAGAGACCCTCTTAGTGAACCTCAAAAATTAATTACAAATCCAAAATTTATAATTTTACTTTTTAATATTTATAAAATTTTAATTAATTTGAAAATATTTTTCCAAATGTTCATTGATGTAAAATTATCCCTATCTATTTATTACAGGGGTAATTGCATCCCAGTGATGTTAGGGAAAAAAAATACAAATTCATGAAAAAATTTATAATTTTAATTATTAATATTTATAAAATTTCACGATGATTTGTTATTACTTTTTTAACACACTAGTGATGTGATATTTCCCCTTTGTTATAAAGTATATAACTCACACCATGTTTTAAAATTAGATAATGCTGTGGTACACACTTTTATACCTTATGCATTCATATTACGCATGTTTATGATATATGTTACTGAAGACAAAAGTAGCTAAGGACTAGGGGGTCACGTGCCCCCTAACTTTTTTATATTTATACTAATAGCTTTACAAATAAAGATTATTTCTTATTTATCCTTCATAGAATTGCGTGATTAACACGTGTCCCTCTATTTTAAATTTCGAACTCTGTCACTATATGTTACGTATTTTTTTGGATAAAGTTACGATAATTTATGGTTGAAAAATGAAATTACGTATTTTGTGATAGTGTTACACATTTTTTGGTTAAAAAATTTTTGAACAAAAAAATACATAACATTACGACAAAATGCATAACTTCATTTCTAAATCATAAATTATCATAACTTTACCAAAAAATTATATAACATTTACCACAAAAATATGTAACACACCATAAAATTACATAAGAGGTGAATATGGTATATACTCAAATTACCATTATGCAACTGTCCAAATATTTGATTTCAAATTTTAATTTCTTCCAAAAAAAAAATAAAAAAATTTCAACAGTACAACAATCATTTCTCTACAACATCATAGGTGTGTATGGTCTTCTAATACTGTATAATACCGTTATATCATTGTGCATATACACTGAGGATATGTTTATTTAGACAGACATGATCTTTGGATTGGACTAATAATCTAACAAAATATAAATCTAATGATTGGCTAAGAAAATTGAGGTTAAGAGTAATAGCATATCTAAACAAGGCGGACTATTAACGTGAGATATAAAATGGAGGACTAAGATGTTTAAATTAATTAGTTAAAATATAAAATTGATAGGATTTTATTAATTACTTAGAATCTTAAGACAATCCAAACATGGAATATGATACACAATATAAAGTTATTGATAATTTCAGGACTAACAGTCCTAAGAATGATAATCTCATCTAATCCAATCGGTCTGAAGAAATAGCACTAAAAGATAAAATAAGCTAAAATAGCTAATAAGACAAAATATCACATCAAACCCATAATCATTTCACTTTTTCTCTCACAAACATCATATCTAACAATAAAAAAATCCAACTATATTCCCAAATACAAAAAATTTAGCCTCCTAAAATAACCAAAAACTAAAATATCCTATTAAAATAGCAACTTCCCAAACACCCACATAATTTGAGTAGGTTGATGACAAAATAGCAACTATGGGTTTGCGGCTTGGCTAATTTGCTATGAGAGGCCTGTGTTTGATTGGAAACAACCTAATAATTGAGACTCACCGATTTGTTGTAAGTTGTTTTCAAATAGATTATGTGCCTCCGTTTGGGAAGTGGGTTGGCTTTTTGGCTATTTTAGCCTGGGCTAAAAAGCTTGGTTTGGGAAGGGCTTTTTGACTTTTTGACTTTTTTTGAGAAAAGAGTATAATGATTATGGATTGGATGTGATGTTTTGTTTGTTGTGACTAAAATAGCCTATTTTGTCTTTTGTGGCTAAAATAGCCCCAAACCTCTTTGTTTTATGAAAAGATTATCTTGCTTGTAATTTTTACTAGAAATTTTAAGTTTTCAGTATAGTTTCTTTTGGCACTTTTCTTGTTCTTTCTAATATTCAAATTTGAGCATAACTCAAATTTGTCAATTTTGATAATTTTCTGATTTGATTAACTAGGGTTGTAATTAGCAGAAAATTGATCGCATTATGGTTCCCATTTATTATAAATAACAATTATGATCCTTAAGGGGTTATTCATTTGATGAATAATACAGATTTTTCTCAATGTTTCCTATTATTAGGGTATTCCGCACCTGTAAATGGATCGGATTCATAGGAATTCAACCCAATCCAATTAAATTAGGCATCCAAAATATGATTAATTTTTGGATCGGATATTAATTGGATCAGACTAGACAGATTCGGCTTTAATCAGGTTTAGGACCAGGGTTTAATAAACGGATTGTACGTTTTGGATGAAACCCGAACTATTGACAAGCCTAATTTCGTGGAATCAACTGAATCATAAAAGAATTGTAGTGATTTCATAACTACAAATTCTGCTTTTACACGTTTCCGCTATGGTTTTGTCCGGAGTTTGGCAATCGAAGGCTATGGTTTTGTCCCAAACTCAACCTCCGGTGCTACAATTGTGCAGATCCATGGTGCGACCAATTACACTACAACTATCATACTGAGGATCTACAATGGGGACATGAGGTACTACAGTGGTGATCTTGTGGATACAGACTTGTATGATAAATGGTTCAGGGTCAACTTAATCCATGATGTGTATAAAAGAAATCTCACAGTTTTCATTGATGGTATGAAAAAGTTTGAAACAAAAGATACAGGTGCTGGAGACTTTTATTTCAAATGTGGTGTGTATGCTGCACCAGCAAATATAAGCTATTAAATGGAGTCAAGGTGAAGAGACATCAAAATATACAAGAAGTCATGTTAGATAGAGCGGTGTTTGGTGTAGTAGAATGAAGGTTAGAATAGAGTGGTCATTATGTTGGAATACTCATTGTCTTGTTTTGTTTGGTAAAATAGCAGGGAATGTGCTTTTTGAATGGAATCACCATTCACCAATTTTGGGAAATGGTTATTCGATTAGGAGATCAAGGAATAGTTATTTTATTCTTGTTCAAAATCATTCCAATAAACCAAAAAATTAATTTAAGAAGTACTAGTCAATGTTGCTTAGTTTTGAGTGATGTGAGATTGTTAAAAAAGTCTTGTAATGAAGTTGTTATTTAGTTATGTTCTATGAATTCACTATAACTAGAACTATTAGCAACCAATTTCTCCACAAAAATGTGCTTAAATCCCTCAAGAGAGGAGAGAGACACCCCTCAATGCAATGCTGATAGCCTCTAATAGAGGCCCGACTTCAACCTTTTTACAAAATTATTCATCCTTCAAAAGCAAATACATTCCCCCAAACTAAGTAGGCCATACAAATAAAGTTGCAAGAAACAAAATACTGAAGTTCAAAAGATAAGATAAGCGTTGATGCTACTCCATGTTTTGGCTAATATTGCTCTATGTGCTCTTTTAAAATAAAATAAA